GTCATTAAAAATGTTTTTTTTTCTGTGAAGTTTATCTTTAAGCTTAAATCCTACAAGCGTTCGCTAGCCGTGCCTAGCCATGCCCTTATTGGCTGCTATGAAGTGAAGAGCTTGCATATCTGGGTGGAAGTTGGAATAGAGCCGCTGTTACTCCAGTGTCAAAAAGTATGGTTCTAAGCTGATTTTCCTTATTGTGACATCACAATATGTAACTTTTTGAAATGACTTGTTCTGTGCATTGAATTACTATACCACATGCTGACAGAAATTGGATGGATGTTTTTTTATTTTCGTTTGGACTGTAGAGACCCACATGGAAGCACAAAAGGATGCAAAAAGTGAGTTTTGCAGAATATGTCACCTTTAACCAGTTTATTCCCTCAAAATGCCACAAATTCATCCGTCTCTGACACATGCACGACTGCAGGATTTCTGCAGAAAAACAGGACTCCGAGTTGCACTATTTCACTGTTGATCACAAAAAGGCTATTTGCAGTTTTTCAAGCAAGGAAAAGGGCTGCACTGATGAATAATTAATAACACCAGAAGTAGGCATCTGCATACATTTTTTCATCTTGTGTTAAATAAACTATCCCATGTGGATACCCTGTTTAGAAAACATCGCCCAAAAGCTGTTTATTTCTTGAGTTTTGACCTGTTTGCTGACTCTAACTCTCTGCCTGCCCATGCTTATGTTGTTTAGAAGCTCCGAACTGTACGGAGGTATTAATGTGGAAAAATCTGTCTCCTTTATTCATTATGTATAACCAGACCAGCTGGTAGGACATGAATATGGAATTTTCATGCACTTTGCGTGGACACTGCAGAAAGCGATCGGATGAACTGGCAAGATGCTCGAGCTGTTGCAACCTTTCAGGCTCAAAGCGTTGTGGGAAACTTAGGAATAATCCCTGCTGCTCAGTTTTAAGCTCACTGGCGTGAGTGGCAGATCAGAAAACGAGATGAGGACAAGGTGTAGTAAATGACACGAGGTAAGGGATGAACACCTGATCGTTTAGGTTGAAGCATCTCTGTAAACTATCAAGACGAGCCAGCGCTGCAAACTTTATGGCGAGAGCAGCTGCTTTGAAGGAGAGCCGAATCACGGGGGGTCTCAGCGGCTCAACACACAGCTTGTCAGTTTGTGCAGCTTATGCAACGCCAGCTTCCAAAACTTTCATGTTGCACGCTAACGACCTACGCCCAGCTGACAAAGAGCTGTTTGGTTGCACTTCCTCAAAGGATTTCCATTTTCGTCCTCCAGTTTCCTCACCTCGCCACACAAAATATCACTAAGAGATTCACCGATCTTGACTACGTGATGCCCTTAATAACATGAAGACAAAATTTTCAGTTTTAATTTGCTGATTTTCAAGTTTGAACATAAAGCCGCCACAAATTTGTCAAAGTAGTCAGAGCTCAGAGAAAACTTTTTCAGCTATAAATCAACACTCAAAGTGTCAACTTGAGACTAATACCAGAACAATCAACAGATTAGTTCAGAGTTCATCCTGTAGTTCCTTTTCGCCGGGAGTTTGAATCGGCAACATTCTCTGAAGTAATTGCACGTACTTGTGACAAATTCACCAACCAGCAGCCTGTGTGGAGGCTGATTATTGATTTCTCTTTAAACGAATTAGTGTCCTTGGGGAGTGTCTGTGTTCTTGGTGTGTCACAGGGGTAAGAAGTTCATAGAAGCCCCTTTAATCTCTGTGACTTAATTATACATGCTTTGAAAGTGAACAGGCATCCTGAAGGAGCTGGGGACCTGGGGATATTTCAGCAGCTGCTGTCGTGGGCGCATCGAACCTTTAACTTAGAAATCATGTGCATCCTGACCTGCAGCATCAGTCAGATGATTGCAAATATGCAACTTTTCCACAGAATTATTGAACTTGTGCATGACAAATTCACTTGTTTCGTAAATTAGCCTCATGCACTTTGTTGGTAACATTTGAGTATTTTGCCTTTTGTTCCTCAGTCCGACGTTACGCTTGATTTTTTGTGACACAAATGGAAATAAATAGGGATGTCTGATACTATCAGCCAATTTTGGCAATCAAATGTAATATCAGAACGGTTTTCACTTTTTCAGTGACAGCCTTTATGCACCATGGGCATATTATACATCAGACACTTCAGCTGATTCTCCTCTCACTCAAAATGCCAAAATGTGACAAATCCAAGTTAAAATTGTTGAGATATCTTTGTTTTGTTTTTATTTTTTGGCACAACTTTCCTAACCTTAATTGAAATAGTCGTCATATTTTGCACAGAGAATGTTTAAAGTTTATGTTAGTAATGGGAGATATTTGTAGCCTGGCAAGTTGCCCTACATATGTAAATATGAAACAACACATGTGGGGTGGAATCTATGGCTGTCTTTCAAACTGTCTCTGCACGTAAACGGACAGCGCTAGCCAATCAGAGCAATGAACAGCGTGACGAATTCATCGCTACGGAAATCAGTCAACAGGTCGGTTCACTATACAGTGTTGAA